CATAGAGGAAGCTTTGTGAGCGAAATAAAAATTAAAATAATTTCTTTCACCGATCCTCACTAAATTCAACATCAAACATCCTTTAATAATACTCTATTCATGTAAAACAATTTAATCGGATATCTCAAATTTTCTGAAAGTTACGTGTTAAGACATTTTTCAAAACATTCAAAATTTTATAAAAAATGAACCCTTTCACCGGTACTCACCAAATTCAGTACCAATCATTTTATAATAATATTCTATTCATGTAAAAAAATTTAATCCGATATCTCGAATTTTCTGAATAAGAATATCATTATATTAAAATATGTAATTATTATAAGGTTTGATAGACATTTAAATAACAATTAAAAGCGGCGAAAGCAAAGAAATAACAAGACATTAATACAAATCAATAGTCGACCTTACACATGCTAATAGAATGATGCTATTTTTAAAACTTCGTACAATTAAGGTGTCAAACTAAAAGGAAGTCTTTTAAGTCCATCCATTTATTACATATCTACGAAGCACTTCCTTTAGCAAATACGTGACATACGTTATAAATGCGTATATCAATTTGGGACGATCCAAGAAAGTAGCGAGACAAAGAAACATGTTAATTTAATTGATTGTTCTGATAATCTGACGTCAATGAATAAAATGATATTACTTGTTCTCCCTAATTAGCAAGTTATATAAATCATTAACTCACGAAGCTTATATATAATTGCAATTAAATTCCGTGAACTAAACGTGTAATGACTTATTAGTTTTCCAAGAATAAAAAAAATTTAAAGAATTGTAACAAAATTTTACAATTGCAAATTAAATATTGTAAAAAAATTCTGCTATTTAATATTTATTATTTTATCAATGTAATAAATATTTTATTAAAAAAAAATCTGCTCTGTAGTAATTCTTGAACGTATATATTTGTCTTTTTTTTTTGGAAAATTAGTAATAAAAAAAAAATTTTAAAGAGGATTATACATATATGTATATGTATCTATTTGAATATAGAGCACATATAACATTTATACCAAATCAAAAATCTGTAAATTCCATTGAAATTATTAAAATCTTCCTGCAAATTAGAGCAGCTCCTTTATACAATTTGCTTTATTCATATTCTTCTCCAAATTATAGTCATTTGAGTAAACAAGGGACCCTCTGTTTAGACAGAAATTGATTGTGTTTGTATTAGAAGCGCCAAGTAACGATCTCATATCAAATATTAAGGCAGATACATTTTATGATAATAAATTTTTTGATGACCTACATTTCATTAAATATTTTACTTTAAATAATTATTATAAACGATTTTTTAACTGTCTACCGCGGAGAAATAAGAGATATAATAAAAGAGACATGATAAGTTTCATTAAAATCTGCGCAGTTGAAAGATAAATAATGTTCTTTGGCGCAAAAAATATCGAGCGTATGTCTATGTTAACGTGAAACATGTGAAAAAGAATCTACTTTTATTTAACGTTGTTAACGAAAGAAAAGAAATATTCAAACAGTCAAGTAAAAGAAATTGCATAATAATTTAAATATTTTTGAATGTCAAACGGTAAAATTTTTTTTTTTATTAGCCAAGCATTCGCAATAGAAACTTTTTGAATTAGATATTTCTAGAAACAGCTGCGTCACTACGTTCTTATAAAACTTATGTGACTAGCGATACAATTCGCAATAAGAAAAGTCAGAACTTAAAATATAAAGAAACAGAAATGCTCTTTCGGCAACTATATAATACATAAAACAAAGAATTAATAAATTATCTCTCAACTTTAATGTTTAAATGTCTATGTAAATTTAGGCTGTAAAAGACTTGATAAAAAATTTAAAGTAATTTTGATTTGATAGAAAATTGAGATAAAAATATATTTCAATAATTGAATATCTTTCGCAAAAAGTATGCTAACTTGGGGCACTTATAAAGTTTAAAATTATATAGAATTCTTTGAATTTCTTAACTTTTATTATAAAAAATATTTGGAATAATAACTCATACAAAATCAATATGTTTGCAATATATTAAAATTAAGAGTCACATAAGTTATTTAATTGATTTATATCACTGTGTGTGATGTCTCTTGAGTTATATATGCATTGTTGTAATAACATAAAATAAAAATAATAACAATCTTTTTCTTAATATTATTAAAATTTAATTTTTGTAATCTCTTATATGATATATACATGTGTATACATAGGATCATTATAAATCATTTTATAAAAAAACAAAATAAATTAATAAATGTTAAACAAAAAATTTTAAATACAAAGGAATTACTTACCGTAAAGAATAACAAAGAGGACAAATAATTCAATTTAAATTCTATTATTTTTCAAGTATATATTCCAAATGAGATGTGTGCATTCCCAAGTTAGCCAAATATTCATAATATCAGTTCTATTATTTGCTCTCACTTTACCGACCTGCACGAAATATTGCACACTTTCCAGTAGCATTCCGTACATCTTGACACGCTCACGAATTTCGTTTTACTCTAGGCGTTTTGTTAATTAAATCGCGTAAGTATTCCGTATTCAACAAATTTATAAAAGAGTTTCTTCACGATCTTATGGCACGTGCGGAGAAAAATCTTCCGCATTATCCTACAAAACTTGCTTCATCGTGATCACAACGTTTGGAAAACAAATGTTTCGCGCCATCAGAATCGCAACCCATGTGCCCAGTGTCATCTGAACAATAGGCCACCTCCCGATGCAGAAGAGAGAGGGAAACCGTATGGCGCGCAGAAAATCCAGTTTCGACTGTGGCTTGAGAGTTACTCAACCCAGCGAGGATAAGTTGGAGAGATCAACGCGATGCGTGCGCAGACTGTCGCTGTATTCTAAAGGTGTTCACACCTGAATGTTCCGAATATTAAACGCTCAGCAAAAGATCTTAGCCAAGAAAAATTGGCAAGAAGGGAGAAGAAGAGATGGTCCAATTGATAATATTGTATCAATGAAAGGATATATATATATA